GGTTCGTAAAAAAAAAAAAAAAAAAAAACGGAAAAGAATAGAGAAGAGGAAAATGCGCGAAAAGAAGCACGACCTTGTTTCCAAGTTTGCCTTTGTGTTTCGATAATTGCTTCGATAAGCCGTACACGTCTATCGTGACAAGGTAATATTTTCCTCCAACGCACATATTTTATCGGTATTTGAGGCTGAGTAATTTTCTAACTACTTAAATCAACCAGTTATTCACCAACTGATCGTTCGTTTATATCGCTCTCGAAATAACTCCATACAAAACTTGGATCAGAACCAAAGAATCGGACTAACCAGCAACTTCTAAATATTAGTCTTAGACAGAAGGAATTCGACCACTAGACCGTTCGCACTGACCATTCAGTAAATAGAAAATCCAAATGTAGCACACTTTTTTCTGGCTACCCTCCAAAATAATTTGAACGCGATCAATGCGAAGTGTCAACGTTTTCACAAAAATATTGGCCACCACGATTTTTTGCCAATATTTATTGGCCATCCCAAATTCTAAAATATTTTTCAATGGAAAAAATTCAAAATTCAATGGATTGTTCAAATTAACGAAACGAAACGAATAAAAATATAAAATCCAAACGGATCTCTAATTTTCCTAACTCCACCCCTTTTCGAACAATCGATACGAGATTTCGAGATACGAACAATCCTCTCTATCAACCATTACGATTTTTCACACTAATATTTAAAAATCACTAATAAAATTCTAAAATATTCTTCCACCATTGGACTATTAACTTTTTGAACAATCGATAAAATTGAAATAACAGAGGTGTCAAATTCTTGTGAAGGATTTCATTGAAATACCAAGCATCCTCTCGCCGATCTGTCGTCCCTTCAAGGGCCATCCCTCTCATCGTCACGATCGCACACGAGTGGGTGTCACTTAACGATTGCGTTACGAATGAGAGGTAGGAGGCACGATAACGAGCAGGTAACGCGGAGCTATTATCAATTTAATTGGTAGGTCGTGCCGAGTTATCATCGAATCGATACACCGAATCGTGGGTCGGTCTCACAAAGAGAGCCAGGTCTTCGAAGAAATTAATAAATCAAGACTGGTTTGGAGGAGGCCACCATGGCGCTCCTTCGTCATTCCAAGCGTTTTGTATCTAGGCTTTACGGCATTCCAGCCGTGAAAGAAACGCTCGCCTAATAATCGTTTCTAACCTTTTTCACATCCTCGTTTTCTTTTTTTTTTCTTCGTTTCCTCGTTGCGTCTTCATAAACTAACCTATCGTTCTCCTCGGTCTTGAAACGCGACCGCTTATTAAATGCCTCGTGTCTGCTTATCTGTTAGCTTTATCCCTTTGTTTCGAGAAACTATCGAAGGCAATCGGGGCAAAGAATGGGACAAGTTTATCGCCGAATTATCAACGGGATGATAGGAGACCTCGAGAGAACAATTTCTCAAAGGATAAAGAAATCGACGAGATTATTTTCTGTGGATATTCCCTAGTCTAGTCTTCACGTTTTTCTTTTTTCTTTTTTCTTTTCTTTTTTTTTTTTTTCGTGAATGGAATCCTAAACGTTCGATAGAAAGTAACGATAAACCGACTCAAAGGTTCGCCTAAATTAATATTCACGTCAGTGATCGTTCTAAATATACCCTGATCGAGCTATTCGAGTGGGTGATCGTGTATATACGCGATTTAGCGGCGCGTAATCGCGCCAATAAAATTAAAAAACCGGCGGTATCTCGACCAGAATCCCTTCGAGATTCGAGTCGAGCATCTCTTCAACGCGAGAGGTAAAAAAGAAAAAGAAAAAAAAGAAGAGAAAGAGAGAGAGAGAGGAGCATCGATGGCCGGATTAATCGGGGCCATGTGCGCCACCAATCCGTACGCGGATATATCGACACTAATTTTTTTTTCGACACAACCATCCCCCTTAACCCCGTTAAAACGTGAAGAAAAGTCGCGGTATGGAAAGAGAGAAAGAGAGAAAATTCATGAGAAAAAGCAAAGTCGAATCATACCTTGACGAGCAGGTGGATTGGCTGGCTGACGCTGAGTGGTTTGCCTCTTCTGGCCTTTCCGCCTCCGCCGCCCAAACACTTTATCCACGGCATTCCTCGAGTGTTTTCTCGCCTCTCTGTTGCCTCTTGTTCGCGACTCCGATTCCTCTCCCTACTCTTCTCTCCCACGATTCCCTCTTCCTAGCCCGTTCCTCGTCCTCCTTCCGCAAATCCCTCAAGGCTTTCCGCTCGTATCCGCGTCGCTCGTTCGTCGCTGCATCTCGCGGATTCCCCCCTCTCGTGAGAACTCTTCAACTTTTCTCAAAATTCACGCCTTTTCACGCCGATTATTCCAAAAACTCGACGCGAATAATAATTTCTCCTCGCGAGGAATTCGCACGTCTTCTCCCAAATATCCAAACTTCGCAATTTCTCGTCCGGTCACTGTTTCGTAAACAATACGCCTCTCCCGGCCAGACCACAACCAAGTACACCGTGATCCCGCATCGAAACGAAACGAAACTTCTCGAATTAATTATCTCTCGTTGTCACTGCACGGTGTACAATCGATCGTCCATTGTGCCGCATGATTTCCTTTCGAGATTTGCGCTTAATAGATTCGTTCAGCGCACACGGAGCCAGGCTTCTGATGAATTACTGCGATAGATAAAAGATAAACACGAACACAGAGAGAGATAGAGAGAGAGAGAGAGAGAGAGACGTTGCGTAAACGCGGTTGACGAGATGAAAACACGGCGTGGTGGGGAGCATCGGTCGGTTTTTGCGTTTCCACGCTGCTTTTTCCACGCTGCTGCGTCGACGTAGAACACTAACGAGGACGTCCTCTCTCGCGCGCGGCTCCCGCGACACTGCCGGCCGTCCGCCTCGCTATCGTCGATTTTATACGCGCGTTGTCAGGCCGGGTCACACCGCGGTTCCTTATCTCCGCTTCATAGACAACCCTTTGCACTAATATATTATTTATATTAATAATCGTGTGCCGTGTAATTTATACGAATTTTTTAATTTCGTTAATCTGTTCTTCCTCTCGTCGATTTTTTTTTTTTTTAAGAAATTGTTTTTAGAAACTTGATGAAGTTCAACTTCTGGTCAACTGTCAACGCAGCTTCGTCGATCAATCTCTTTGGTTCCACCAAGTTCCATAGATTATCCGGAGAATACCATCAATAATGAATCGTAATTGAATCTTGTGCAAGCTTGTAGAAAGTTGTATGACATTTTACAATTATTTTCTTACAATCAATATTTTGTATATCCGTTTTAGAAAATTATTCTCTTTCTTTTTCTTTTTCCAATTGTATAACAATTGGATGGATATTTATAAAACGACAATATTTTTTATTATTTATATTCTTCCCTCTTTCGAAACGTGTTTCTTAGAAAATTATCGAACAGAAATTGGAAAACGCTTATACACGCTTGCGTGAATAAATGTGAATCGGCTTGATTTTACGAGCGTCAGCTTTTCTCGACCAGCTCGACCCGCGGCCTGCCGTCGACTGACAGAAAATACCAACCGGGACCCCGAAGAGCGCTCCGAGGGCCGGACAGAGGGGCGGAAGGAATCGACAATCCGTGTCGAAACGCAGCGCGGCTCTCCGCATCTGCGCCTTCCCTCTTCTGCTACCATCACGAAAATCATCGAAGATTCTCGGCAAACAATCTCGATCTCGAACCGCCTCGAATCGACTCTTTCTTTCTTTCTTTCTTTTTTTTGGGGGGGGGGGATGCCTAATATATTTGATTTGCCCCTTCGCCGTATCTTTATTAGAGCGTTCGTCGATAGAAGAAGGTAATGTCGTTCGTCTTAACGAGTTAGAAAAAAAGTAAATCGAGCCAAACCCATGCCTCCATCTTCCCAGCCACGAATTTCCCAGAAGACGAATTTCAAGACATTTTATAACGGAATAACTTTATGATCGTCCTTTTTTTTTTTTTACCGTTCCGATCGTTTCAAACCTCAGAACACAGATGTCGGATGAAAATAGATGAAACCGATAAAGCTTGTACACTTGTACAAACATCTTCGTGTCACGAGTCAATCCTATGGACTAATGTGTCCACATACTGGACTTACTCTCTTTCTTTCTCTCTTCTTCTTTCCTCTCTCGCCACATCGATTCATCTTACACTCTCCACACTTATTATCCGCGTTTATATTTAACGAGAGATACATACGTAACAAGGTTGTATCTCTTAAAAATCATCTTCGTACCTACCCTTAAAACCGGTACTTACATATATGCTTGATCGTCCGATCGGCATATCCGAGTTATGACAGGATGGTAACGGTGTCGAAGGGGAAACATTGACGTGGACCCCCCCTTGCACGGAGGCAAATTACGTTACCACGTGAAACGAAACGCCCCGTGTACTATGTCGTACAAGCGCAGTATCAACGGGAACCGTGTTTACATCTCGTCGTGGCGCAGCGGATCTTTACGAGAGGGGGGCCCATAAACCCGTACTTGCTGCACCACACGTATTTACACACGAGGCTCGCGCCATCGTCCCCCGACCGATCGTCGAATCGGAATTTTTCTCTCTTCACGACGATCCATCGACGAACAAACAACGCGATATTGAGTTATCTGAAATTTTTCTCAAACGGTTTACGTAATCCGTGCAACCGTGACATAAGACCGTGGAAACGCGAAGAGGATAAAAAGGCGAGTCGATAACGGTTTCGTAAAAAAAATATTGCCGATCGATTACCGAGTCGAAACGATATTTTTAACGATACGGGATGCGTGTTTATTTCCTAGGCGGATTTCGGATTTTGTTTACCTGATTTCTTGATAGCTCAATTAAAATCGCGTTAACACTTGTTCGCCTCGTCGAGGTGATTAAATAGAGTTGATTAAAATGTACGTGGCAGTTAATTAAGAAAATTTTGCGAGTAACACTTCGATTAATAAATTTTTTGAATGTATCGTGGCAATGTGTATCCGTTCAATTTACTTCCATTTATTTCCTTTTTATCCTTCCCATTGTTTTAACAATAATAATTTTCGCTCCACGCTGTATAAAGTGACCCATATAAAGTCTCACGAGCTATTTTCTCGCTGAACTAGAAGAAGATATCGACTTCTTTCTTCTTTTTTTTTCTAATCAAATAGATCCACGTTTGATCTGCGCAATAAATTTCGTCTTCTATTGAATTTTTTAAAATGAAAAGTGACCCACTTTTTCTCCATTTTTCATTAAGAGTTTTCACGTTGTAAAATTTGTGTCTCCGTACACGCATATAACCCGGCGTGCAATTTCGTTACCCTACTATATCTTCGTTGATAGAATTACACGTATGCACGTAGTTGCGCGGCGTCCCGGCAATTACAATCGAAGAGCTGCCCCCTTTCACGGCCACGAAACGAGATTCCAGGGCCTGCAGGGACCCCGGCCAGATAAATCATCGGCTTCTTCGAAGTGTCCCTCCTTTCCCGATGTTCGTAGTCGCTAATTAAGTTTGCAGAACGCTGTTGGTGCCGCTTCTGGCCGCATAACGAGGCGTGTGTAACTTTCTGTTCAGCGGGAGGTAATGCGAGTGGAATACTTAATATCGCGGGCACCCGGCCTCGGATCTCTTTCTGGGCACGTGCTGCTCGCCTTAGGCCAGAAAGGGTTGTGAATCCGGAAGGCGCGGCCACGTTTTCTTCGTTTCCACGAAACAACTGTTAGACAGGGGGAGGGGAAGGAAATTACGCTACACCGCGTTGCAGAGAATCTTCTATGGAGCGAGAGTCTTCTATCTGGACGAGTAATAACGATTGTACAAGTCGAGGTAAAAACTCTGGCAACTTTTTAAATTGCTGCAAGATAAACGTTGAAGATACTTTTTGGATTTACTTTGCTTCTGATAAATGTATATACGATTTATAATTTTCTTCCTTTTACGATCGTCATTTTTGTTAAATTCCGTGAAATTTTCTCAAACTTTTTTCTCGAAAACTTGCTTTACTCTTCTCCGCTATTTTATTATATCTTCCCCGTTTTCGAATTGTTACTCCGTGGAAAAGCCGATATAATTTCCCTCGAACTTCTTCCTCCATTCCCTGGATCCGACTGGACACTTTCTAAACGTAACTTTCCAAAGACGTTCACGGAACTCGGGTAATCGGCAGACGTAACAGTGGAACAGTGTAATCATCAACGACCACCGACTAACTACAGGTTACTTGGCCAAAGGATAGAAGTCGATAGCCCGACGATCTCGAATAGCGCCGGTAATCATAGAAAAATCGAAGATCGTCCTATTCATCCACTTTTATTCTCGTATACAAAATTACATCCTCGACATGGTTCGAATCATAATCTCTACCTAAACGTGCCATTTCCTGGAACAAAACCCATCGCAAATTATTTCTCGAGAGAGAAAACCGTAAAAGTTTGTTCGCCGGCGAGACAATGGCGATAAAATAAAATTTAAGGCAACAAACTTACTCCACCGATCTCCCCACCAGATCGTATCTGAGAACGTTCGCTGTTTTCCCAACGCGTTCTTTTCGAAGAATCTTTCTTTTCCGTTTAAAGGAGCGTTACTTCGAAAGCCATCTCCGCGTCGAGGAATTAGGCACGCGCGCGAGATATCATAAAAGAGAAGAAAACCAGGCCAAAGGATCGTAAAGAATCGGGTCAACCAGAAGATGAGAAAACTTTTGCCCTTTTTCCTTAACGCGTCTCGTCTCCTTGATAACGAAAATCCTTCTCCTTAATACATTTAATGCTGCGATAAAAATCGAAGTAGGTCTTCGAACACTGTTGTAAATAGAAAGAAGAGTTGTAAAACTATTGAAAAATGTAAAGAATTGCAAAATAGTTGCATCAACGACAATCGATATTCAAACGATTCTAAAACGCTCGATAAGAAATCAAAATTTTTAGAAATTTGATATTGATATTTTTCGATATTGATATTCTTTAAACCATGTAACAAATTTCGTCACGTTTAATTTTACAAAGATTAAATTAATATCGATCCTTCGAACCTTCAAAATCAGATATTGCTCCTAGTGGCAATTATTTAAGGAAAGCGTGGAAGATAATTTGTCCGTCTCGTTGAAAAAAATTCATAACGCGATGGTACGCGACAGAGGATAGAAAATCCGCAACAACATTCGCGTCATCCGTATCGGATATGTGTTGAACGAGAGATCGAACTAGTTCGCCCTGTTATGCCCTGGCCTCGTTATACGTGGAACAAAACGTAATATAACCCTTGCCGATCCGGGCTTCCCGGGCGGCAAGGGTGGGCCAGTGACGTACACGAGAGGAGGAGCTCGAGGTTCGAGGGAACAAAGTTATTCCGGAGACCACGAGAGAGCCAAGAGGTCAGCCAATTCCAAGGGATGCTCTCTTTCTCTCCCCCCTGTTAACTTTCGCGAGGCTACGTCAGATAGCCAAATGGGCTGTGTGCTCCGCATTGGCCTGCATTTCCCTTGCTTCCCTTTCCATTTCTCACTGACGATTTGATCGAACGTTTCGCAGCTTTGGTTGTCGGTTTCGATAAAGAGGCGAGCACAGGTGTTGATTAATGAACGTCAAACGGTGTTTTCGGATGATTAAAATGAATCAAAAAGGATCGTTTATCAAACACGAGCTTTCCACGTTGGCTCGTGGAGAAGCGGCTTTAAGGGGTGAATAAGAGGTAAGAGGATTTTAAAATTTCTTTTTCTTGTTGCTTCTTCTTCTTCTTCTTCTTCTTCTTTTTCGTGTGAACTTTTTTTTTTACATTGGAGCGGGGGAAAAAGGAAAATTGATGTTAATTAAAATATTTATAGAAGAATGTGATAATAGAAAAAAATTTTTCAATCCCGTATAAACTGCAGTTTGATAGTACTTGCGGGTAAAATCTCGAGCGTATTACCCTCTAAATTCGTATGATAATGTTGGTAATTCTGGATAATCGTAGTGGTTCCAGAGGTCGGTTATTACACTACTGAAACTATATGCACTTTAACGCGTTCTATCTATGAAACACGGTGCAATATCG